TCTAAGTCAGCATGGTTTTAACTTCATGCTGCAAACCAAAACCCTTTTGAGAGCAGCATCTCTCAGAGTGCCTTCCGCCCCCAGCAACTGCAGAGAAGAAGGCGTCTGCTGCAGAGAGGAGCGGCTATAGATGTCATTGCATCTACCGGATCCAAGCTGTGACCTGGCTCGGAGTTTGAGAGTTAAAAATAACCACGGCTTAAAGTTAGGGGCGTAAAAAGTAAAATGTTGGGTCTCCATGGAAACTAGGAGAAGGAAAAAGGCAAGCCATGAATTTCCAGCAGATGGGGCAAGGTGGGGTGGATATAGGGGCCTGGGAGCTCCCTCTGGTGAAAGGAGATACCCCTGATGAGCATCCAGAATGTAGCCAGACATTGTTCCAGGGCTCTGGAGATACTTGGTGGTATGTTTGCAGCAATAATAGACATTTTGGGGTGGAGGGGAATCAGCTGAGGTGTCTTAACTTGCTGTAGCACAGATTTGCTGCTCTTTGGCAAAGCAGAGAGCAGATGAGCAATGCAGTAGGTTAGATGTTGCCTTCTAAACCATGTGGGAACCTCTACTACTACCTGCATTCACATTCCACTCTTTGTTTCTTTAAATATATTTTATTGAGTTTTTACAGAGAGGAAGAGAGAGGGATAGAGAGTTAGAAACATCGATGAGAGAGAAACATCGATCAGCTGCCTCCTGCACACCCACTACTGGGATGTGCCTGCAACCAAGGTACATGCCCTTGTTCGGAATCGAACCTGGGGCCCTTCAGTCCCAGGCCGACGCTCTGTCCACTGAGCCAAACCAGTCAGTGCTCCACTCTTTCATTTGCATAATCAGAGACTGAGGAGTAGCAATTTCCAACTAGAGGGGAAGTATACAGGTTCTTGGGCCTTTACTCCCTTTCAGTAGTTCCAGGTTTTCCCCCTCTGGTGTAGGAGATTATGCAAAGTGGCATTAATTCCCTAGGATACCCTTAAAAGTTTGGTCTCAATATTGCTGGTATTGTTACTATCAGAGGTGACTAACTCTTGGGGGAAACATTTCATTTCTTCATTTCCCTTTTCTTTAAAAACAATTTGTAAAGAATACACGAATACATCCTAGTTGTAAGTTTTTTTAAAACCCCTCTCTTTTCCTTTTTACATTAAGAGTTCATATACTTTCTTGTTCACCAGCACGACACTGGAAAGACCTGAGTGCTAATGCTTGTTCTGCTCCATAATAATAATACAGCCGTGAGCAAGTTCCTCAGCCCTTCATGTGTGAAGTGTGCTTGATAATACTTCCTGGCCAGGTTTGATGAAGATTAAACGGCATAAGGTATATTAACCACCTGGCACCTCCCTTCCCTTCCCATGGGACCTTTGATATTTTCCTTTAATCCCAACCAGGTAGAAGCAAGCACTTGGTTTTCCTGTACCACACAATTCACATCATGGTAAAGTCTCACAGAGGGCACACTAAAATCTGAAAGACACAGAGCAAGTGTTAAAACAGGCAGGTGTGCAGTTTTCAAGGATGTTATTTACGTTGGAATTCTCATCACTGCATCATTGCCACAGCCCCAGGGTTGAATTAAGGGCAGAAAGTTTCAGAGACAGATACATACTAAATGACCTAGTTATCCTAGACATATTGTAACATTCTCTTACACAATACCTTGCCCAAGAAACTTGCAGTCAGGTCACAAAACTGTATACACACTACGATAGTCACTACATAAAGAAAACGAAAAAAATCAAAGTAGTAAAATTATGGGTGATGGCATTTGTACACCCCCTCTCTCTGGTAATGTGACACTTGCTTGTTAATGGAAAAGAAATTTTATGAGAATTATAAATACTCTAAAAATAGAAGTTTAAAATATTTTACATTAATAAAATTGAGTCTTTATGACAGCTATATAAGGTGCTATATTACATCTTATAAAACAGCCTTAGCCAGTTTCTGTAGTAGATGACGTGTTTGGGGATTTCTTGTCCCCTAGTTCTTTTATCTTCTCCACATTTATAGGTTCCTCCCAAATACCGGGTGTCCTCTGTCCCTCTCAAATGTGCCAAAGGACAATAGTTTAAAGACTTCTCTGGAGGAACGCCATATTGCATTTTAGCCACCAATGGATGGCACATATTCTGGAATTACAGACATTAGCAAGCAGCGGCTTGAGACACATGTGACCAACAGGACCTGATGGTAAACTTCTGTAGCCCGAGGAGCCCTGATCACAGCTGTTCCCTAAAGCTGCTGCCAATTTGTTAACCAGAGGCAGTGATACAAATGGAAGATGCAGCTATTCTTTCTGAGGGACCCATAAAGGTCTGATGACTCTAAGGAGCCTAAGCAATTAAGGAGAGTATTTTTGGAAAGGCAGAGACATCAGAAGCCAAGCAGAGAGGTAGTTTGCACCCTCTACTTACTGTGTCTGATCAGATCAGCTCTCATTCTGGGTAGAAGCTGCATCACACGAAAACATTGCTTATTTAGATATAGTCGGGAGCACCCACACCTCCCGAGGCGTAGACCAGTCACACTCTTGTAGCAGATGACCTCTAAGATGTTTCTACAAAGATCGTTAACACCTATAAAGATACCTATTTCTAGTCTGGTAATGGGCTATCCAGAAGGGTGGCCACTAGCCTCATGTGGCTATTGAGATTTAAATGTATTAAAGTGAATTTAAATTGCCGTGGCAGGTGGCTCAGTTGGTTAAACTAGCATCGTTCCAGTATGCTAAGTTTACAGGTTAGATTAGGGCACATACAAAAATCAACCAGGGAGTGCATAGAGAAATAGAACAACAAATCTCTCTCCCCTTAAAATCGATAAGCTTTTAAAATTTAATTAAAATTTAAAAATACAGTCACAGCCCACATTTCAAGTGCTCAGAAGCTGCATTGAGGCTAGGAGATTCTGTACTGGACAGTGCAAATACATAACATTTCTATCACAGAAAGAACTTTTCTATCACAAAATTCTATTGGACTGTGCTGGTTTAGAAAAGAGTATCTTCAAGTTGCCTTTTTCCTTTCTTCCTTTTTGGTAGAGGCATATAGAAGCCCACACTTCCACTGGGAGGGCATGCAGCACCTCCCTACCCACAGGCCTATGTGTAGTCACTAAGGGATCATGCTGAATTTAGCACCTTGTCCTACTTTCCTTAATCTCTACATCTTTATACATGCCTCGCACTGAACACAGTCTGTGTTAGCCCTTCCCCGCTCCCTCTTTACTGATGAGGATATGATTCTTCTCGGTGGGTTTAGGTGGGTTTAGGCTTAGTGCCTGTAATCCATGAGCATGCCCGGCACCTCCTCACTGACTAGAGCTATTCTGGAAACCTGCCTCCTGGGTAACAAACAAGCTTGAATGTGGAGAGGGATTGCATCTATTTGTGCTGCTGAGTCACTGAATTGACTGAAGGAGAGACCGGGGGTGGAAGGGGAAGGAAGAACGGGAAGAAGCATACAATGGCGTCTTTATAGAGATTTTGTTATTTTGGTATTGGCATGTCAAAAATAAGTCTTTAGATGAAGTGATGGTGGAATAGGTTAGTGCTGGGAAGATGCCTTTCCCAGGCAAGATTTGAACTCCTAGTGTTTTATCCTGAATCAGAGTTTCCTTCTCTCACACAGAAAGATTAGTTTTGCCTAACTTTAAAGCTGTGAGTCTCTATGAAGGCAAAATAAATCTCTCCATCCTGGAACTTTTTAGTTCCCCTAAAGAGGAACACGGAAATGCTTTTGATGTCCTGTTTTTGTCTGGGAAGTAGACAAAACTTTTAGATATCCCTGCACCCAGGGGGAGACTTTGAGTCCCGCTGGGAATCGGGAAGAACATGAGAAAGCCTCAGAGTTTTTTGGTTGAAGACGCTGGAAGATGTAAAGGCAGTACGCGCGCGTGGTTTTACTTCCTTCGTCAATTCCTCCCCCAAACCTATGACTCTTCGATTGACTTAAGCAGTTCTGATGCCAAAGGGTTTGCAACGGCGATGAGCTGGATCTGAGGAGCAAAAGCTGGGCGTGGAGTCAGGACTCAGGTGTCTGACTCACGGAGCCCGAGGAAGTCGTCTCTACGCCCCTCACCTGCCAGGGCAGGGTTGTGCTGGAAAAAAAAAAAAAAAAAAAAAAAAAAAAAAAGTCGGTTTTGCATCTACTCATGTTACAGATGAGCCAACCTACAAGTAAAAAAAAAAAAAACAAAACAAAAAAAAAACAAACAAACATATAATCCCTCAACGAATCCGTATGTCCAGCCTGGGCTCCGTGGACCCTGCACCCCTCCCCGGAGGCTCGGGCTCTGTGTGGGTCGGGCTTGGAGACTCGGATGGCACCCCTATTCCTGGCGGTGGGTTGGCGAGCTGGGGGCGGGCGAAGCATCGCCGCATCCATAGCTCCTTTTGTGCCTCGGACAATACAGCCCCCGCAGTTACTGGGACCCGCCCACACCTGCCCAAGCAACAGTCACCCAGCAGTTAGTTGCTACGAGATTTTCCCTTCGCTCTTGCGCCCCAGCTCCCCGGCCCTCCGCGCGGACTGAAGGTGGGGGTAGAGCGAGAGTCCGGGATTAGTCACGAACCGCAGTCTTCACCCTCTGATCATTGTTTTTTTGTGTTTTTTTGTTTGTTTGTTTGTTTTTGTTTTTTGCTTTTAACTCCCTCTCATCCAGAAGGTACCAGTACATCACCCTGCACCTGTGCCCCAAACACGGCTTGCAAACGCTGAAGTGGGGGGCGAGAGGTGGATGGGGAGACCACAGGGGAACCCCTAAGCAGAGTCTGCGGGGGGGCTGGGAGGAGAGAGGAGGCGGGTGTCAGGGGAGCAGAAGACTCGCCTCCGCGGAGCCGCTTGGCGATGGAGGGCACAGTGCGCACGCGCAACGCCCGCGGCTCCAGGCGTCCCCCGCCGCGGGCGCCCCGCTCCCCGCCGAGGCTCCGCCCCCAGCCCCGAGGCCCCGCCCCAGGAGAGGGCGGTGGGGCGCAGGGGGCATGCGCGCGGCCGGACGGGGCGCGGGCGGAGGGGAGAAGGAGGGGTGCGCGCGGCGGCCAGCCCGCAGAAGGCGAGAGCCGCGCAGGAGGACGGAGCGTCCGCCGCGAGCCCGTCGGAACCGGTACGCTGCCCGCGGGCCCGGGAGGGTGGGCGGGCGGACGGGCGGGACTTGGCGCCGCGATGCGGCTCTGGGACGCTGGCGAGCTCGGGTGGCCGGGGTCCCGGGTCCCCCGCGACCCTCGTCTCCTGGAAACTTTGTGCCGGCGCCCCCGCCCGCTCCCCCCGGTGGCTCTCGCATCCTCCTGGCGGCGGGAGCGGAGAGGCCCCGCGCCCTCCGCGGCGCCCCCTCCTCGGCGCGCGGCGCCCGCCTCGCTGCCTCTCCGTGCGCCCCCCGGGCCGCCCCCCTTCTCGGCGGCGGACACCCTGGCCCCGGAGACGGGCCCTTGGGCTCCTCCGCTGGCATCCCCGTCCGCTCCCCTCCCGCCCCCTGTGCCCTGCGGCCTCGCCACGGCCTCGCCACCCCTCGCCCCGAGCCGTGGGGGCCCACGGCGGCTGTTTGCATCCGCCCAAGGCCTTTCTGGTGCATCGGTGGGAGCAGCTTGACTCGCAGCGATGCCAAATATTCAACTTGAGTGTTTTCCTTCGCGGTGGTCCATCGGTGTGCGCGGAGGCTAGCGTGTTTTATTCCGTCCGAGTGCCCTTGCCCCAAAGCGAAGTTGAGTTGTTCGTGGGTGAGGGCCAGTTGCATGCTGTCACTGTCTTAAGTGGATTGTATGACTATATTTTATTTAGGTGGATGTTGCCAATGGTACCAGCCAGTGTTATGGTAACAGGGCATCCGAGAGGCAAGGGAAGTGACTTACAAATGCAGTTCTGCTGTGTAGGAATTTAGTTAACACACACACACTCAAAAAACAAAAAACAAAAAAAACACCTCCTTGTACTTTTTATCCAGCAAGACCTTAGGGCATTGAGCATGTATTAACTAGCAGCTGTTCGTTGTCATGTTTAAGCGGGCAGGCAGAGCGCATTAGCATCCCGCCTTACAGAGGTGAGAACGGAGAAGAGCCGAGTCCCTATTCTTTACGAACCTTAAAGGAATTTGGACCAAGAGCTTGAACTCAGAGTTCCCTGGAATTCCTGGTGCAGTAAGGCCACCGAGAACACCGTCCCTGAGATTGTTCAATTAACAAAATCAAAGGGGCCGGGGCCAGCCTCCAGCAGCCCCATGCTCTGGGGACTCAGCCCTGTCACCGAGTGAAGCGCTACAGGACGAGCCGCAGCTGCTGCGCGCGTTTCCTGCTCTTTAAAACGAGGGGAGCTAAGGTGCTGTATCTTGGCAAAGCTGTGTGTGTGTGTCCTCAGGCTCCACCGACGAGCTGCGTTTGGCAACTGTTCCTTGTTGTGGGCTGATAAAGGCGCCCCTTCTTGAGTTCCCTTTAGAAACGCAGGGAATGAGGCGCCCACCAGAATGAATAGTCGCCTATCTTCGGGGCCCCTGAGAACTCCCCGCACGGACAGCCTGAGGCAGGGACCCCGACCTGGGAGAGGGGGAAGGGGAGAGGGAAGAGGGGAGAGGGCAGAGGGTTGCCCGGTGGAGGTAGGAATGAGCCCTGCGCTGGCGGCTTGACACACGGGCACTATTGCTGCCTCCAGCTCTGACTCATCCTCTGACGCTTGGGGGAGGAGAGGTGTTGCTTGGTATTTTTGGCTTTCCCCCATAAAAGGGGAGACGGTTTCCTTCATCCCAAGTCTGTTTGAACGTCAGCGCTGAATTTGTCCATGCTGCGGTCTCATCTGAAATCTCTCTTATATTGGTTGAATGCAAGTATGGTTTCTATAGCATCTTTTAATAGGCTAGCAATAAATGTGTTTATTTATATCATAAAAACTGGCCAGGTGTATAGCTCCAGGAAATCCTTTAAAACTTTTGCATGAAAACTAGCATTTTTAAATGGTAGTCTTTAGGAAGGAGTTTGGGTTTCGTGAATTCTTTTGTAATTGGGATTTTATTTCAAGGGATAGTGGATTAAAAATACAATACTTTTTCTAAATACAAGAAATACATTAATCATTCTTTTTTTAAAAAAACTTATTTTTAATATATTTTTATTGATTTCAAAGAGGAAGGGAAAGGGAGAGAGAGAGACAGAAACCTCAAAGATGAGAATCATTGATTGGCTGCCTCCTACATGCCCCCTACTGGGGATTGAGCCCACAACCCAGGCATGTGCCCTTGACCGGAATCGAACCAGGGGCCCTTCTGTCCACTGAGCCAAACTGGGGAGGACTTAATAATTCTTTATGTAAAAAACCTAAAACTTTACAGATAAGGTTAAAGGTTTCTTTGGAGCATCTTGCCCCCAAACAGCTGCTGACTCTGTGTTTATTGGTTGGTTTGTATCCTTTTAGACTTTTCTAATAAGCATTTCATGAATGTCTTTGCACAATGTGATTTTTAATTGAAATGCATTATAAAATTAACTGGTCCTGTTCATAGAGATTTGAGTTCTGTCTAGAACAGGTAGCATGTATATTAATTCCAGCTGGTTATATAAAGTTTTATTAACCTGATAGAATGGCAGTATTTATTTGGACAACTGGCAAATGCCCCCCTTTTAACCAACTTCAAAACAATTAAGTTATTAAGATCCTAGGCGTTACTCTCAGTTGCAGATGAAAATTTTCCTTCAGGAAATAGATAAGTCTAGGACTACTAGTGTATTCATCTTTTCTTTGCTTATAAGGAGGCATAAAAGGGAGTGGAAAGCAGAGAGAGTTGCTAAAGCAACAGCACCTGGGTATAAACTTACAGAGCAAACAACACTTAAGGTGGTAAGAAGCTTTAGTTATTTATGAAAGCTTCACTGGGGTGAAGACAAAGGGATGTGTTGATGTGGGCACAGTTTAAATCCGTAATTTCAAGAGCTGAGTGAGTTAAAACAAAATTCCCATAAAGAGTTTATGGATTTTAAATGTTAGGTATTTATTGAGGACATTTGCCATGCTGAAAGGTATTGTGCTGACAGGCTAATAGTAACAGTAAGAGAGGAAGTGTTCTTTCCCCAGATTAGCCAGAATTGTAATGATTCTGAATGCCAGGAAATCAACGTTATAGTTATTTAACCTTTTATAAAATTGTGAGTTGTAACACACAGAAGAGATTATAAAACATAATATAACTTAATTATTTTATTTTATTTTTAAAAATATATATATTTTATTGATTTTGTACAGAGAGGAAGGGAGAGAGATAGTTAGAAACATCGATGAGAGAGAGCCATCGATCAGCTGTCTCTTGCACACCTCCCACTGGGGATATGCCTGCAAGGTACATGCCCTTGACCGGAATCGAACCCGGGACCATTCAGTCCCCAAGCCGACGCTCTATCCATTGAGCCAAACCGGTTTCGGCAACTTAATTATTTTAAAGAAAACACAATAGTAACCATCTTGCAGGTCAAGAAGTACCCTCAATCCCACTCTTTCCCAGTGACAACCTCTCCCTCCACCAGAGGTAACCAAGCCAGTAACTACTCTCATTTTTGTGAAAATCACTTCCTTTCTCTTCTATAGTTTTATCCCCTAACTATAAAGCTCTAAACAGCACAGTTTCATTTTGCCCGTTGTGTTTTTTAAATCTTGTGCAAATGGGCCAAAGTAGAAATTCTTTTATTTTATCAATATTGTGTGTGTGTATGTATCTACACATACATTTTTTGTTTAAATTCTTGTAGCATTATATATTTTTTAAATTCATCTATGTTGATACCTATGACTATAAATTGTTTAATATACCATATATGTATGTATATATGTATATATACATATATATGATGTCCCCCCAAAACATACATATACACTTTGAATGATAGAGGTAGTGTTTATTAAAATACATTTCATTTTCAAAATCGGCCTATTAGCTGTTAACATGTATGTACATGTTTTTGATCACCCTGTATATATACATATACACCTAATTTTGTTTATTATATATTTTTAAGATTCATCCATGTTGTTATATGTGCCTGTACTCATTTTTGTATGAACATACTGCAGGTTATTTATCCATTATCTCCTGCTGATGGACACCTAAATGGTTTCTGCTCTGGAGCAGTTGTGAACTGCTGATGCCTGTTTTCCAAAGTGGTTGTACCAATTTACATTCCTCCAGTGGTGCCAGCCTTGAATTTATAGTCCACTATATTTGTTCTTTAACCACAATATGTTTGGGTATTTCTCAAATGAATACATGTCACCTATGTGGACTGATCCCTGGCCCTTCATGTACCTTTATATTTATACTAGAGGCCCGGTGCACAAAATTCCAGCCTGCACCCTCTCCAATCTGGGACCCTCAGCCCAACCTGCACCCTCTCCAATCTGGGACCCTCAGCCCAGCCTGCACCCTCTCCAATCTGGGACTTCTCGAGGGATGTCCCACTGCCCAGTCCTCTCACAATCCAGGACTGCTGGCTCCCACTGCTCACCTGCCTGCCTTCCTTATTACCCCTAATCATTTCACCTGCAAGCCTTCTGTTTGCTCCATGGCAGCAGCCATTTCTGTTTGGGTTTATGTATCTTTTATAATTGAAACTTTGTAGCCTGGAGTGGAGGCCTAGGGCAGCCAGGGCAGGTTGAAAGCTTGGCTTCCTCAGTTGCCAGGGGAAACCCTAGGCTGCTCTCTTTAGCTCTGTGGCTGCCACCATTTTTCTTGGGATTTATCTTCTATAATTGAAACTTTGTATCCTTGAGTGGAGGCTTAGGCCGGCCAGGGCAGGTGGAAAGCTTGGCTTCCTCTATTGCTGGGGAAACCCAAGCCTCCTCCTGCTCTCTGTGGCGGAAACCATCTTGGTTGGGGTTAATTTGCATACTTGCACTGATTGGCTGGTGGGTGTAGTAGAGTGATTGTTAATTTGCATATTACTATTTTATTAGGTAGGATATACTTATGTTTATTTTATCGATTGGACTAACATGCCATTCAAAGGTTAGAGATGGTTTTCCCACTCTTATTTAATAGACAAATACCCAATAGAACCCTTCTTTTAATATTAAACCCCATACATGTATGTTATAGGAATATTTAAATATGCCACATGAAGTAGTATAAATAAAAGTGTCTAGTACCTAGAAGTCTTTTAAAGATTTTTGGTGAATCCTACCTCTTGGGCTACCAGATGGCTTGACTTGCACTGTTGAATGCTTGCCTGTGTCCAGCCCTGAATGTGCAAACCAGCATTGCTGGCTTTAGGGCGATGTGTGTAGGAACTCAGGCCAGTGCTGTTCAAGTACCCTTGGAGGACAGGTATTCACATGCTTGTGCACATGTGCATGTCCTCCAGAAGGCGCCAAGGACAGACCGTGGTTTGTCCTTTCTTGGCAATTCCAGAGGAACCATAGCTTCTTTCTTTGCCACTGGAATAAATGACTCTTTTTACCATCTTTAAAAGTGTAATTTTCTCCATATCTTCCTTAGAATGCGAGAGAAGAGACAGTTTAGTACTACCTCTTTTGATATAGAAAATTCCTGCTTTTTGAGTAGACGGTTGCCAGGTTAACTTTGATTGCTTGTGTTTGGTGTTGCTAGCTAGATTTAAAGG